ATGTAATTATGTAAGAATGTTAACACTGTTATATTTTTTTAGTATATTACTTGTGTGGTGTAGAAGAGAATTATTTATGTAGAGATACTGCTTGCAAACCAATGATGTAAGATGATGTCATGGGGTAGGACTGGATAAGTCTGACTTCTTCCTACTCCATTCAAGCATGTACTAGGTATAAGCAAATTGATATTGGATTAGCATTTGTTGGATATGTGTAAAATTATGTGTGTTGACATATCAACTGTCTTTACATGCTTGAAAGAATAAATCAAATCAAATCATTTTAGTTCGCTACCAAGATCAATTCTCAGACTTCAAACCTGCTCAACATAGCTAAAGCATGATAATGAAACAAATTTTTGTTCAAGATCATTAATTTTAGAATGTTATTATTTTGTGTGCACCATTTTATCAAGTTAAATAACAGAAACATCTCTGTATATGGCAAAACAGATCAACAGTACCACAACTACAACAACCTCCATCCAGAATGGCAGTACAGTTGAATTAAGCATAAATGATATTGCCAAGTATTATCAAAAAAACAAGGAATTTGACTCCAGCCCAATGGCCCCCCAATGTGCACAGCAATAAATACAAAACATATACAAATTAAAAGAGAAAACATAGACTGAAACTGTTTCAACAAAGACAAAGCACCACAACCTTCAGGCATATTATCATCATTGAAATTAGTCTGAAGAGGATCACTTGAATATTTCATTATGGATGCATGTTTTGGGAAACAACGGGCACTGATGAAAGACATCAGTAGATTGCTTTTATTCGTCTATAAAAGCCCTTTAACATCCACTTCCTACTTTCATTTACAGTGCAGTCTTACCTTGGGTTTGGGCTGACCTTCCTGGTCTGCCTTTTTCTCTCTTGGTTTCTTCTGAACAGCTTTCACCTCTTCCTCCTCTTCCTCCACCACCTTCTCGTCTTTGTCTTTCTCACGCTTCTCAGCCGGTGGAACAGCCTGCGGTTTCTCCATCTTCCTGTCGTGGATCTCTACCACCTTTGGCGTTGGTCTCGAGATTCTCGGTGATCTTCGAAGAGATCTCCCCGTGTTCGTATCAGACTCTGAATCCCCATGTCTTTCCTCTCTATGAAGTTCAGCTTTCCTTCGATGGGCTATGGGCTTGATTTTCTGACAAACACTCGGCTCCTGAAGATCTGTCGGGGTGTCACTACCGTTCGCCACCTCTTTTTTTATTGCAGAGTCCTCTTCTTCACCTTTGCGTTTACCTTCCTCATCAGTGGGCTTCTCAGTAGCTGGTTCTTTGCTTAGGTGGCTAGGTTTATCAAAGTCAGTTGAGGATTTTGCTTCAGGATCTTTGCTTACATTTTGATGACCCAACTGCTCCATTTTGGTGCAGGTTTCACTCTCTTTAGGAGCCGGATTTTCCTCCTTTATTTCATCAGTTTTCGAGAATTTATCTATGGTGACATCCTCCCTACTATTTTTGTCTTGACAAAGATTCTTCTCACTGACATTTCTAAGTTTTTTATTGTCTGTGTCCTTTTCATTTACCTTATCAGCATCCTTTTGACTTTCAGGTGATGGATGCTCTGCCTCGAGTCTTTTAGGCTGCTCTTCAGACAATTTTTCCTGTTCTTTGTCAGGTTTTTTATCACTTTCTTCACAGATGTTAGCCTTCTCACCAGGACTGAATGGTTCATCTTTCTTTTCAGATGGTTTTCTTGGTGTTTTATGTGCAGCTGAGCTCATCTCCACTTTGTCATCTTCTTGTGGGTTTGTCAGATCCTGTTTAACAGCCGCTGCTTCTACCTCCACAGGCCTGGGCACAGAGTTGCTTATCTTGTCAACCTCATCTATTGTGATGTCTTCACAGCTGACAACTTTCATTGTGTCTTCAGGCTCTTCTGTCTTCTCGGGATTAGTCTCAGGGGCTGCGCTGTTCTCAGGAGTCATCTCTGAGTCTTTGATGTTATGATGCGTCTCAGCAGATTTACATGAATCTGATTTGTTTATCGTTTTACTAACAAAAGACTCCACACTGTCCTTAATGTTAGATGTTTCTATTGATTTCTCACAGTTTGATGCCATGTCTACACATTTACTGACAGAACCTTGTGTGACTTCCTGGGTCTCTGTATCATCACCATCTTTTAGTGTTTCTGTCTTTTTAATGGCAAAGTCATCAGTTGTCTTTGCAGAGTCTTTGTTTTCAGATTGTGCCTCTGCTGCTTTAATGACTCCTGGTTTCTCTGTTGGTGGAGAGTTATTTGATTTCTCTACAGTATTCCCAGATGTTATGAATTCTTTAGACCCTGTATTACTCACTTCTGTTTGCTTAATGCCTGATGCATTTTCTGTCCTCTTTAAAGTTGTTTCTTCGGTCTGATTTGACTTCGATGATTCCATGTCTACACAGGCTGATTTCTCCTCTAAAACATGTGATTCATCTTCTTTGGGTGTGACCTCATGATTTACATTTAGGTTAACTGACTCATCAGTTTTTTTTGTTTCTGCTGATGTAGTTGTCCTGTCTACCATACAGGACTTTTCTGTATCAGCTGGTTTCTCTTTAATTTTTTCTTGATTTTCATGATTAGAAGAGTTCTCAAGTGCACTGATTATATCTTTAGGCAAAGGTGCTGCCTCTTCTTTTGAAGGTGGGGTTTCCTTCTCTTCTGTCACTACAGTGCTTTCCATTTCTGCCTGTACATCTACATCTTTCTTGTCCAAGTCTGCTTGGTATGTTGTGACTGCCTCTGTTACCTTCTCTGTACTGCAAGCTTCAGCTTTATCTTTCATGCTCTCCTTGTCTGTGGATGACAAGTCATTTTCTATTACTTTTACAGATTTACTTCCGGCTGTTTCAGATGTATGCTCTTTGTAGACACCGCTGTCTTTTGGTGATTCGCACAAATGGCTCTGGAGATCTCCCTGTGATGCAGGCTGAATTTCACCATTAACATTTACACTCTGTGCTGTCTTTGTCTGTTCAGGAGTCACATCAGCTTTAGGAGCTTCTCTGACCTGAGAAACACATGCATGTTGCACCATAATGCCACTGTTTTTTTCAAAATCTTCACTAAACTTCATTCCTCTTTTTTTCAAAGGGATTTTGGCCTGCTGGTCATTCTTGAGTGCCTGTTGGACCTCATCCGCACTGTTCTTCTTGACCTCTTCTTTTTCTGCCTTTACTGATATACATGGTGTTTCTGAAATGTGTTCAATTGTTGCTGTGCTTGATTTTGTGTCTGACACCTCCACTGGCTCTTCTTTAATGTTCTGAGCTTTTGTACTCATGCTTTCTGAATTGAGTTCTGCTTCAGTTTTGCCTTCGATGATGCCATTCAGTGACGATTTGGCCTCGGACGTGTCTGATTTCAAATTTTCTTTTAGTGTTAAGATGTCATTATTCTCCGTCTTTGGTGAGCTGGAGCAGGTGGTCTCATTGCAGTCTTTGTTGTCTTCATCTGATGTATCATCTGTCTTTTTAATTTCACCTGTAATATGAATATAAAAGAAAAGATCAAATGACTGGTGGAAATCATTCACTAAAATATTTTGATTCTGTCACTCTCTTTCAGAATCAATTCTTAATTCAATAATTTCAATAATTTAAAAAGTCTCCTGAATACTGTATTTCAAAACAAGATTTAACTGCATTATCAAAAACAACTGGAAGGGAAGTGATCTGGTCCAGAGCAAGGTCCCTTTCTTGCCAAAAAAACAAACAAAAAAAAAAAAAAACAGTAACACGGTAAGGTGTGTGAATATACAGCTTTCTCATTTAAGAAGATTTTCAAGGTCTTGCACATTGTCTTAGTGACAGGTGCACAAAATCAAAAATGTTTATTAATAATAACAATTTAAAAAAATCAGAATCACTTGAACTCACTTCAGAAATATCATGTTTTAACCACCATACCTTCCAACATGTAAATTATTGAAAAAAGTTGAAATTCCATAAGCTAAAATTGGAAGCATGTTACAATCTTCTGCTTATATGACAATAAGTGTATTTCACTGACATCGACCACTAGCTAAATGTCTAGGTTTTTTGTTTGAACAGAAGTTGGTCTGTATGTTCTGACGTGAAGCAAAGAAAGGGCACATCTGCTGTTTTTGATCATATTCATGATAAATTATTTGCCTGCAGGTGTATGGTGATTTTTCACCACTTCAGCCATCAAAATATAATGTTCAAAAACCCAGATAACATGTTTACATACCACAGTATCTCTAATAACACTAGTTTTGTGCACCCCATACACTGTTCAAATGCTATGCCCTTGTGCTATACAGTAGTTCTACCTTTTCCTTTTTGCTAATGTCATGTTTTTAAAGTACATAAATCAATATTTTATGAGTTGATTCTGAATCATAAGAATCTTCATTCGTATATGCATTGACTTTTTCCCACCCCTAGATGAAGTACATTTCTTTCTTTAGAACAAGGCTTTAACACCTCAATGACTATTAGTGGTCTCAGTGATTCAGTCTAATGAAGCCAACTAAAAATGAAAAGAAAAAAAAAAGTAAATTGTAACAAAGCCCAAAAACAAAACTGCCATTAATAGGAATCAATTTAAAAGACAAACATTTACCTTCTGCCTTTTCTTCCTCTTCTTCACCATCACATTTGCTTTGCTGTTTTTGCTCTTCCCTTTTCAACAGCTCAGGGTCAATTTGTGTCTTCAACAGAGCCACAGCCTCAGCTAAGTCATTTCTATTTCTAAAGGGAGAAAATAGTCGGCCAATATAATTACTCCATTTACAGACTAAATAACAGAATTTACCTTTTAATTCCAATTTCACTTTCATATCCCAATCCCTGAAGCATATTTTTTCATTAAAATAAATTCTGTCTGTTTACCTGACGATGCACTTCCACGATGACCCATCGGAGTCATCTTGCTCCTCCACATAGAGGCGTACATTGTTGTCTTGGTCCAGTTGAAACCAATACATCTGTCCATCTTTGTCCCGGCCTATTGGCTGCAGCCGCATTTTATCTGGGTCCTCCTCATTGATGGCAGTTTTGAACTTCACATTTTCATCAAACTGACACTCGCACAAATACTGAAGAAAGAAGAAAGACAAGATGTTTCAACAAATTCTATCACAGGATGTACTGCACATTTATTATTTTAGCTACAATGCCACATACTAGCATATCGGGAGTGAAAAAAGTGGAAATATTTAATTGTCGCTGATAAAAAACTGAGGATTTATAGCAAGCAAAGTGGCAAAAGGCTGTCAAGATTTAATCAACACCAATGGTCAGTTATTCACCCAGTCTACAGAACAAACAACCAATTAGTTTTTTTTTTTGTTTCTACTGGCATATTCGAATTTCAACAAGCAAACGCACAATTAATCAGCACAATATGAAAAGCATGCTCACATTAAGAAGCAGGACTGTATGAGAAGCTATTTGTAAATCCTGCACTAAGTTTGTGTCCTTCATAAGTAGGGGTGTGACAATACACTTAACTCACAAGATGATACACGATATTGGGTTCATGAGAACAAGATGAGACGATATTTTAACACTATTTTTTAATAAGCCTTCAATAACAAAAAATATGAGACTGGGAAAATAGCCTTTTATTTGACTGAAAGTAAAAATGCAAAACAATGCAGGTGCATTTTGAAATGTTTTAGCTAATCATCTTGTAATGAATGTCACTTCAGTTCTACTTGCTCAGTATGAATTATCATATGCAATAAAAGACAATAATATGCAATCACAGTAAAAGGTTTTCCACAAACTCAACTGACTGGCTGGCTTCTCCTATGTATGATTTCACAGGAGTCTCTTCAGACCTTAAAACTGTGCATGAGCACAAGCTTCTAATTGATGCTGTGTGTGACCATATATGCTATTTTGACCATCACCGCAATGGACGGTGACATGATCTGGCAAAGGTGCCGAGTTGACCAATCACATACAGGGGACATGAGCATTCACTGCTATTGACTGTTGAATCTGGACCACAATTAATGCACCATAACGATACACCATGCATTTTTGTTAGTACTGAATGTTAAACTGTGTTTTTTGTTTTTTTTTTTATCTGTCAGTGCCGACACACTGGAGACAGAATTGGTGCTAAGGTAGAGTAGGCTACATTAGCAGCATGGCTAACCAAAATACAACGGAAACTCACAGGCTGGAAATGTGAATGAAGCCACTCATGTCAACTTGTCACAACGTGGCTGTATAATACATGCCTACAAAACGTTCCCTGCAACACCTCACTCCATGACTGGTGCAGCCCCATGCATTAAAACACAGCATGGAGCTGCGTTAACACGAATGTACGTCACTTTGCCGCTACACTTCACTCTGGTTGTTATGTACTGATACAGTGCCTTGCGAAAGTATTCGGCCCCCTTGAACTTTGCGACCTTTTGCCACATTTCAGGCTTCAAACATAAAGATATAAAACTGTAATTTTTTGTGAAGAATCAACAACAAGTGGGACACAATCATGAAGTGGAACGAAATTTATTGGATATGTCAAACTTTTTTAACAAATAAAAAAACTGAAAAATTGGGCGTGCAAAATTATTCAGCCCCCTTAAGTTAATACTTTGTAGCGCCACCTTTTGCTGCGATTACAGCTGTAAGTCGCTTGGGGTATGTCTCTATCAGTTTTGCACATCGAGAGACTGAAATTTTTGCCCATGCCTCCTTGCAAAACAGCTCGAGCTCAGTGAGGTTGGATGGAGAGCATTTGTGAACAGCAGTTTTCAGTTCTTTCCACAAATTCTCGATTGGATTCAGGTCTGGACTTTGACTTGGCCATTCTAACACCTGGATATGTTTAGTTTTGAACCATTCCATTGTAGATTTTGCTTTATGTTTTGGATCAGTGTCTTGTTGGAAGACAAATCTCCGCCCCAGTCTCAGGTCTTTTGCAGACTCCATCAGGTTTCCTTCCAGAATGGTCCTGTATTTGGCTCCATCCATCTTCCCATCAAGTTTAACCATCTTCCCTGTCCCTGCTAAAGAAAAGCAGGCCCAAACCATGATGCTGCCACCACCATGTTTGACAGTGGGGATGGTGTGTTCAGGGTGATGAGCTGTGTTGCTTTTACGCCAAACATAACGTTTTGCATTGTTGCCAAAAAGTTCGATTTTGGTTTCATCTGACCAGAGCACCTTCTTCCACATGTTTGGTGTGTCTCCCAGGTGGCTTGTGGCAAACTTTAAACGACACTTTTTATGGATATCTTTAAGAAATGGCTTTCTTCTTGCCACTCTTCCATAAAGGCCAGATTTGTGCAGTATACGACTGATTGTTGTCCTATGGACAGAGTCTCCCACCTCAGCTGTAGATCTCTGCAGTTCATCCAGAGTGATCATGGGCCTCTTGGCTGCATCTCTGATCAGTCTTCTCCTTGTATGAGCTGAAAGTTTAGAGGGACGGCCAGGTCTTGGTAGATTTGCAGTGGTCTGATACTCCTTCCATTTCAATATTATCGCTTGCACAGTGCTCCTTGGGATGTTTAAAGCTTGGGAAATCTTTTTGTATCCAAATCCGGCTTTAAACTTCTCCACAACAGTATCTCGGACCTGCCTGGTGTGTTCCTTGTTCTTCATGATGCTCTCTGCGCGCTACAAAGTATTAACTTAAGGGGGCTGAATAATTTTGCACGGCCAATTTTTCAGTTTTTTATTTGTTAAAAAAGTTTGACATATCCAATAAATTTCGTTCCACTTCATGATTGTGTCCCACTTGTTGTTGATTCTTCACAAAAAATTACAGTTTTATATCTTTATGTTTGAAGCCTGAAATGTGGCAAAAGGTCGCAAAGTTCAAGGGGGCCGAATACTTTCGCAAGGCACTGTATCACAAGCGTTTGCCTCAACGAGAAATATCATCATGTTTTAATATCATGAGATCTCATCACACCCCTATTCATAAGTTTCTAATAACTGCTAGTTTCAGACTGTGTCAGTGACAGCCTTGCAGTGGTGTCAGTCTTTTATTTTTGTTGTTCTACCGAGTTTAGCATGAAGTGGTACATAACATTATATTTCAACAAATTGGCCAGTCCAAAACGTGGGGGGAGCGACAATCCGACATTCACACCTACTTCACACAGTGAGCTCTGTGGAAGTGAGAAAGAAAGCTGGAACTGAACATCCCTCTATAACTGTGTCTTCTTGTTTCTTATACAGCTATAAAACAGTGTGCTTACTTTAAGTATCCCTGTTTTGCACTCCATTGTCAACTCCTTGTATCCTTTTTGTTCAAGTTCCCACGCCCATGTTGTGTTGAACTCTTGGCATACCTGCAAGGAAAATTAGAAATTCAATTAGCAAATAAATGGCTTACTCCTGTTAATATCAATTTGTTTTCATCTCCTTGGTGCGGTGTTGTTGGAGTTCCCCATATAGACTGACACGGCTGTGGCTCAGGAGGTTGGAGCGGTCATCCCCCATCCGGAAAGTTGGTGGTTCGATTCCCATTGTCCCCAGTCCACATGTCAAGTGTCCTTAGACAAGACACTGAACTCCAAGTTGCTCTGCCATCAGCTGTAGGTTTAAAACCATTTCAGCTACTAGTCACAGTACTAACTAGAGCCAGTTCAACAGACACAGGACCGTTTTAGAATGAATGCTATACCCCCTTAACTAATGTCTCATCATCACATTGCAAAACAAGTGGCCAGAACAGGTAATATTAGAAGGAAAACACTAGAAATACACATGTGCACACTGAAGTGAAATTAAAATAAAAATTGCAAATTACCTTTACTAAATATTTCTCCCATCTGTCTGCTGACACAGACTTCCCGATCTTCCTCAGCAACTTGACATGAAGATCAACCAGCAGCTTTGGGACTGAGGAAACAGACAAAGTGGTTAGTGTCTAAAACCAATTTTAAACATAGCTTAGGATCTGTGGGGCACAGTTTATGAGGGCCACACAGGAAGCAGCACTGTCAGATATAGGGTTGCAAAATTCCGGCAATTTTCAAAGTTAAAATCTTTTCATGAGAATTAACGGGACATTTGCAAAACTGCTAATTAGCCTATAAGAGGGAACTTAAAATATAGTTGAAAAACATCTTGCAGCATAATATTGGATGTTTTTTTGGGGGGGTATGTTTATTTTATTCAATATTCATGTTTTTTTTGTTCAATTACAGAATACATTAAAGTTCTACTCAGAAATAAATCTAAGTCATATATGTCATTTTTAAAATTTGCATGAGTTTGCATGTATGTCTGCTTATGGCCAAACAAAATGCTTATATTTGTGTTTGTCAGTGATACAGTTTGTATAAATGACCCCAAATTTCCAATTAATTCCCATATATTCCTGTTAATTCCCATGGAAGGTTTCTGGAAATGTATCAGAAATGTTCTGCCCCTTTGCAACCCTAGTCAGATATCACAACCAGTGACAGGCACTGCTAAATATATGCTTGCGTCCTCATTAGTTGATGTGTTATGGTTGTCCTGTTGTAAACGTTAGGCTGCCATCTGAAACACAAGCTGAATGCACACAATACAGTAGTGGTAAAAGTTTGGACACTGCTGAGAGAATTATGCATTTTGCTGATTTTTTTTAAGAGAAACGTTCCAAATCCAACCTCTGCAAGAAATAGGCATGGAAAATGAGCCTTTCTTTAAATGCTGATGCACTGTTATTCTTTGTTTCAAAAAAAGAAAAAAAAAAAAGACTAACTGCAGAATGTGCAAAACTTTGGACACCCTGCTAGCAACACCCTCCACCTTTGGTGGATAACACAGATTGCAACCCCTTTTTGTAGACAGTTAAATGTCTTTCTATTTTTGATTTTGGGTTTCACCCACTCTTCCTGTAGATTACTAGATTCTGAGATGGGTTTACGCTGTCTTGCACACACAGCGTGTTTAAGATCTACCCACAGATTTTCAACAATGTTCGTGTCAGGGGACTGTGAGGGCTCCAATTTGTGTTTCTTGAAGTAGTTCATGGTGGATTTTGAGGTCTGCGTTGGATCACTGTCTCGCTGTAGGAGCCAGTCTCTTTTCAGGTTCACTTTCCTGACTGACTACAAAAAATCTGTATCCAAAATTTGCTGATATTGTAATGGGAATCTGTCTTCCTTCTTGCTATGCAATGTCTTCTGTGCCTCTGGCTGCCACACAGCCCCATAGCACAATATTTCCACCCCCATGCTTGAGTGTTCTTTTCATAAACTACTGCTAGATTTTTCTTCAAACTTCATCTGCCCATAGCACTTGTTTCCAAAATGGTTCTGGCTTATCCAGATGTTGCTTTGAGGTGTGCTGACTTTTGTAATAAGGCCATAGGTCAGGTTTCAGGTTTCTTCTGATGACTCTTGCAAAAAAGCCCTGTTTTTTGTGTTTCTTGAAGGTGTCAGCTAAACCTTCCTGTAGGTGCTTTGCCTCTCTGCCCATCGTACATCCAGTTTTATCTCAAAGTCCTTTTGATCTTTCACGTGATAACATTTCAGTAAAAAGAAATTTAAGAAGTGCTTTTGAAATATATTTTGGCTTCCCCTGAATGGTAGACATCAGTTAGCTTCATTTTCAGACTGTCAGCCATTTGCTTAGAGGAGGCCGTCATTGTTGAGTGTTACTGCAAAATTCAAAGAGTCATCCAATAAAGTCACAAAAATACCTTTGAATTCCCAACTTACTGTTTCAGGTAAAAAAAACAAAACATTTTTAAGCCTCCCCTAGCGCTTATGCACTAGGCACTGTGTGACGCAACCAGCATGGCATAATGAACATAGTGCTGAGGCCCAAAATGGGGCTTCAAATTGTCCAAATCTTATATTCAGGTCAGTCAAAACAAGTGGCTGTGATTTAACTAATACAGGTGACATGCTGGGTAAAATGATCCTGTTCATTCTCAACCACCATTTGTTAAAAATGAACAGTTTACACCTTTAACTTCAGATTCAGTTTGTCACAGAACACCTGTAAGCATCTGAAGCATGTTAGTTTCTTTATGGATGTGTATGGCAGCCCTAAAGATAATGATGACTTGAGCAAGAGAAAACAATTTATTTTAGATTTTAAATTACATGCATCCGATTTATAGTGGTCACTGCAAAAAGTCATGTATTTCTCCAAGATGACCTGTGAAATTAATATTCTTGAAAAATCAAAGTATATATTTAACCAAAAGAAATTACATTAATAAGTTGGAAACACAAACATTAGCTTCCACCTGTAGTTATTAAGGGGGAGGTTACCGGGGGCAATAAATGTCTATAATAAGTGATGAAATAGTTGCTTTTATTACTCTTTGTTTTGAAAGGGTGTGCTTAAACAGCCTCAGCAGTGTTTAAAACCAACTTTCCAATCTGTGAAATTGTATTTATGAAAGCAAAAAAAAAAAAAAAAAAGTAACTTCACTAACTCATGGGCGTAATCTGCACAGCAGCATAAATTAACGAGTAGATTCCAGTTACACTATGGTTTAATAAACAGTTTACAATCTGTGATTTATCTAAGTGTGAATCTAGATCAAAAACACTATACCTGGACACTATACCTCAAGTCTGGACCAGATTAGCTCACAGTACCTACAGACTGTTTCAGGTGTGTGAAGCCTCCCAATCTCAACCCAACTTCACCGTTCAATTGAGCACATGTCGGTGCGAGTTCAAAATTGTTGACAGTCGCCTGCGCAAAGCAAGCGACTGATTTTTAAAAATAGTAAAGTCAACCACAACAAGCAGCACAAACGGAAGTACAGTGACTTTGACCTTCTTTCCTTTAACGTGTGAAAGAAAATTAACCACTGGAGCATACATGCCACGGCGTGTGAAAATAACACACGTATGCATATAATAGCAACTAAATGCGCAGTAAGAGCACAAGTATATGTTATTCACTAAGAAAATCGTTTTTCAATTAGCAAGAAACGTTTACTTTAAAAGCTTCAACCGGATACCGTTGTTATAAAAGACAACCTGACAGAAGCTGAGCGAACACTACATGACAAAATATTTTAACTGTAAATAGAAGTACACCATTTCGTGTTTGTCTTATATAATGACATCTTTACTAAACATGACCAGAACTCATATTATATTGCATGAACTATCACAATCGTTGCTACTTCACAAACACGATTATCATCGCATATTTGTGCCTGTGTTGTGTTACGAATAACGTTACAGCGGTAGATAAAGGCAGCTTGGAAAAAATTAAGCTCAATTCAAAAGCTAAAAAGTGAGAAAAGGCCTCGATTAATTCGGTGGGTTTACACTTCGACGAGCATTAAATATGCACAAACACATTTTCCACTTCGAACAGCAGCTCTAAGATGCAATTAACGTATAGTTATGTAAACAAGATGGTTAGAAAACCACACAATAACACACAACTAGCTAACATAGCTGCTAGCCTCTTAGCACGGTACCATTATCATTAATGCAACGGTGAAGTCTCTCCTCCTCCCCGTCAGAAACCGGTGTTTTTCTGCCCTACCTGAGGATGTGTCCTTCAGATATCTCTCAAGCTGGGGAAAAGTGAGCTCCGGTAAGTCCAGCAACGCTCCATACCGCTCCAGGAAAGAGCAAATCACGGCGTAATTTGGACACAAACCAGGGGAAGAACTCGCTGTTGCCGCCGAAGCAGCCATCTTTTCCACACCAGTGTCAAGCAAGCCGGAATCAAATAAACTACTTCCGGTGATAACAAAATAAAACTTTTCAAAACGAATTTTTTTAATCCAAGGACTGAGGTTATACGACGGCAAATTTATTTTATTCAGTGGTGGAAGAAGAACTGCAGGCCCATATTTATCAAACTGCCAGAGATAAAAGTGTGAACTTAAGTGAAAGATAAAACTTAAAGTTCTTAACTTTTACAGCTACTCACAGACTTAATATAAAAAGTATTTTGACTTTACAATACTCTTCAATGTAGTAAAGATATAATAGCAATTATTAAAACATTTGCTAAAGCAGTCGATTAATTGCATTTAAGACCACCTTTTGCTAACAACAAGAATACATTTGGCATTTGGTAGCCTATTTATTTACAATTTCCAATCATCTTCATTGTCTCCAGTTTATTATTTATTATGGTGACTTGAGGACAAGTTTTGTGTGCATATGAGAGAAAGATAAAGAAAGAGAGAAAACATATGAGATTAAAGGATCTCTTATTTTATTTTGATTCTCTCTGTGGTCATTTTGTATCATTTTGCTGCCTGTGCCTGTTGCATTAGACAAAGTGGAGATAGCTTGTTGCTATAGTTCTGAAGCTGAATAAAGTTGCTAAACTAAACAATGACAAACTTCTTTAAGTTTTGGACTGTTGATCATCACAAAAAGGGCACTTTTAAGATCACAGTTAATCTAATAAATACAAATAACTGGCATATTAATCGATAATGAACATAATTTGTGGCTGCCCTATAACAGACGACCAGCTTAGGCTCAACCATTTAGAGTAGCAACATAACTATGTGCTTATGCCCTAGCGCCCTCCAGTGGCTACAGCTGGAAAATCACGAGAAGCAAGCATCAGTCAAACTAAGGTTATATTTATATAGGCCTTTATAGGTTGATTTTATTTAGAATAAACCTTCAATTTACCCCCAAATCTATTTTCAAAAAATATTATGACCCTTAAGTAAAAGTAGCAACATCACTGTGTTGAACTCATCTATAAAGTAAAAATCCTAGGTTACTCATTACACAGAATGGTCCATTTTAGGATAGTTTGCTATTTTTATTACAAGGTAATTATATTAATTGATTCTATGAAGAAATTAGCAACTAAACTCATAAAATAGAGTAAAAAGTACAATATTTGTCTTAATTGTAGTGGAGAATAAAGTAGCAGAAAACACAAATACTCATTTACTGAATATTATGTTACTATGTAACATTAATAAGGACAATGAGAGGATACACTCATATCTGTATGAATAGTAGCAGACGTTACTCTAGTACTGTACAATTTTGAGGTACTTCTTTGACACTATTTGTTATAAATCTATGGATTATATGACACTTTAGGCTATGGGGAGGGGGGTCTTTTAACAGAATTCATCAAAGCTAAAGACGACATGAGTGGAAAAGTCTGAACTGTAACAAATAAAAAAAGAAGTCTTGTTAACTTAATTTAACTTGTCTTTATTTCACATTTATTTGTGCATAATAAATACAGTTAAACATCCACTGGTGTGTAAATGTGATGCTGAACAGCCTTTGCAGAGCGTATGCTGTGAATTGCAGGCAGTATGTCACTGAATTTCAGATTCAGCCTTAACATGGAATCAGGAATCATTAGTAAGTTGAACAATATCTCTGTTGGGACAAGACACCGGTTTGATGATTATCTTTTTTTTTAATAAAACAGGGTAAATGCAAACTTCAAAAATAAGTTTGAGGTCATTCAGATCTCAAGGAGATCAATGAGAACACAGCAACATGGCTGACAGATATCTCTCTTCCTCTGATCCAACTGAACTACAGTTTTATAGGTTTTTATCCTAATTCTACAAAATTAAACAAATAGGAAAAACAAAACAAACAAGCTTTGCTATTATTTGTACAGATATTCATATGCAAGCTCTCTGTAAACTATTAATGTTTCAAAAACAATCAACAATAAAAAGGTCATATCAAGCTCAACCAAAGAAACTACAATGGCTATTTCAGGCTAAATAACAAGCCAAAAAAAAAATCATACAAATATAGCTGGTAAACAAAACTTTAAACAAGAAATATTGAACAACCATGTAGCATCCACAATACTGAAAAGGAATAAGGACATCAAAAGTGCTTCACTATGACTGTATACATTTTAAACTGGACTGCTAACAGCTCAGGATGGTTTCCTCAAAAATAAAGGCATGTTTAAACTGCACATTACCTCAGTGTAAACTATCACCCACTCTTCATCAAACCATCACGCTCACCAGCAAAACTATACTGGCATCATTTGTATCATAACATTTATAACACAAGAAAAAGGTTAGACTACATATGTACGCGCTACGTTTCTCCCTTAAATGTTTTGGGATTTCTTATCATGTGGTGCAAAGAAAACTAACATAAAACGAAAGGTTTAGAATTAACCATTAAATGTAAAGGATCCATTATTTTGAGCAGACCTTCCTAGGAGATTCCCCCTACTGACATTAACAATCACTACCTAAAATTGCCACTTTTCCCTTGTTTATCTAACTGTGTGCAGTCACAGTACATGTGCTGGAGGAGAGGACCAGCCTCGCCCATTGCTGGTTTTGATCGAATATGGAGACAAACTTTTGGTTTGCGTTGAATCTACATGTTCAAAACATGTGACATCCTACCAAATATAACTCTGTTGCATAGAGGTAATCCTGCTGTGAAGACTCTTGACAGCTCAATATCAATTGATGAAAACAAAAAGTAGCCACCCAGAAAGTGGGAGACACCTGTAACTGGAGGGTAATGGGGCTGGGTGATATGGTTTAAATCATTAATATATTAATAGTGACATTTCTTTATTTTATTGATATTTTCAAACTCTGGACAGTGAGGACCAGCTAGGTGTTTCCTCAAGCTTCCAGTCCTTAATACTAAGATGGCTACAGCCACATACTTAATGCACAGAAATGAAAGTAACGTCAATCTGCTCATCTATTTCTCAGCAAGAAACTGAATTTTTGTTTCCCAAAGCTACAAATTATTTAAAACTCTTGTACTCAAAGTCATAATCACTTGATGATAACGTGTTAATAATGCAATGTATCTTTTTCTATTTATTTCTTAGATTAGAAGGTCTTGCTGCATTTTTAGGTCCTGTCTGTGTCATATGTATGAAACTGTAACAGATCATATTATCTGTCAGTTATCACGATATTGATTACTGTGAGAAGAGCAACAAGCAGAAACAGGATCTGAATCATGTCCATTTGTCTAAAGGAATACCAGAACTGACAGCAGATATTCAGTCAATATTCCATATTTCTTTTAAGGACCAATTTGTGGTAAAACATGTGGACAATATGGGGTAAATCCCAATTCCCTTATTTTACCAATCCTCTTTCTTAAATTCTTGCTTGACCCAGAAGTTGTTTCAGTCTGCCATCTTGAAGGACATGCCAAGGCTCATATTCCTGCTCTGAGGAGTAAGGAAGAGACCATCCTTTGTGTTAAGTCTTTAAGGACTCTTTATCAAATGAGGGATTAAAGGAAAGGACATCTCATGTCCTCTCATTAGATCTTTTCCTCCCATTTTACGTGGATGGGACTAAGACACAAGGAAAAGACACAAGTGTGGGTAATGTGGATGCAGTTAGGGAATTGGGATTCATCCATGAACTACCCATGGATAAACAACTGTGAATAGAAATAGCAAACTTCAGTCAAATAAGAGACAAACTTGAACTAAGGGAGTATGAGAAATGTGAAAACTGAACATACTTTAAAAGGCACACTATTCCTCCACAGCACATTAACCCTATGAAGTGTTGTGTGAAAAGACGAGTTAGTGTGTAGGGCCTCTTCAAGCTTTCAGGGAGTTGAAGTTTCTTGTGTTTAATTTTGGAATGTGTTTAGAGGCTCAAAGCTGCCAAGTCCCAGCTGGTTGCATCAAAGTTGTCACCACCGAGGTGCCGCCTTCACACTAGCGTGATCTCCACCTCTTCTCTCCGCTTCACCTGCCCACGAGGATGCTGCTTTGGGGGTGGAGGAGCAGCACGGACCTGGAAACAATCAATAAATCAATCAGCAGCTCCTTGTTTGTGAATGGACAAAGCCCAGAAGCTATAAATTACAGTCAAAATCAACAAATACTAGATGCAAAACCAAAGACCTACTGCAGTTTTTTTTAAAGGCTACTCATTTTTATTAATCATTGATAATGGGAGAAAATATTGATACATAATAGTAGATAATTATTCATCCATCCTGCAAATTGCATATGCTGTTCAGGATCGCCTACCCTAGCTCACACTGGGTGATATGAAGTGTACATTCTTGACAGACCGCATCTCTATTACAAGGTTAACACAGGCCGACAAACACAGGAAATATTCGTTTACTCACCGGTCGAATGGTCCCAGATCCATTCTCTGGGTATTTGGGAGGCTGAGGGGAGCCTTGGGCTGGACCTGAAGAGGACAGAGATGAACATCATGAATAGTTCAGCTTAGCTACTCTTCTTTTAAAACTAATTCATACTAGTTGTCATTACTTCTCAGACATTATACCTAGGCTGACTACTTTAATACAGACAAACTAGTGAATCTTACTCTGAAAAGGGCTTTTGTGTGGTGCTGGTGGCGGCCTGTGATGTCCGTTGTGATAAGAAGGGGGTCGGCCAATGGGAGAGGCTGTAGCACTGCGGGGACTTGACTGAGGAGAGGATATGGTGGGTGTCTGAAGGGGGCTGCCGTGGAGGGGTCCTGGCTGGAAGAGAGTACGAGGGGATCGGTCACACTGGGCCAAAGTGGAAGGGGAAGCCTTGAAAACAGCAGGCAGGAAAGATGAATTTTCACAGAGACAATGTCCATCTTTGGGTCATGAGACAGTACAAAATATTAGGCTGTAATCATACAGACAATGTTTTTGTATTTGTTAGATTACATGGTGATATTTTTAGCAAGAGATTTTTCAGAGATACAGTAGATGACATAAATGCTAAATGAGATACTGCAGTCACTGACTGGTCAGATTTAACAGGTTAATCTGCTCAGAACAGGAAATCACAACCAATACACATTCAAATAATAATCGAAAAAACAAAGAATCTATATCTTTAGCCCTGAAATGTAGCTGTAGCCACCGTTATTCATTTGTTCTCAGTGTTTTCTCATTTCTTAAAACGAGCAGATCAACATACCTGTGCACTGCCATCTCTGTGTCCGTCTCCATTCTCACCGCCACTGGTGAGATCCTCCACAAGAACTGCAGGGAAGACCCCAACGACACCGTTAAATTCTCCTTCCCAGAAACCGTCATCCTCGTGGGTCTCTCTGCTCAGGATGCGGATGATGGCACCTTCTGGAAATGACAGCTCATCATCTGTTTGTCCTGCATAGTCATACAGCGCCTTCGCAAATGACACTGCAAAAAGAGGGGAAAGTTCAGAAGCTGCGACAAAGCAGGACACAAAATAATGGCTATACTGTATAAGTATTCACTGAGTAGAAGTATCCCTCACCACTTGAGTCTCCGTTGACAGAGCCAGTTGGTAGTTCTGTTTCAGGTTCAGTGGAGTTACTGGAGGAATGGGATCGGGCGTCCAGCGCGGCCAGAGACTGCAGCATACTCAGCAGGCTATTGGAGGAAGGCAGCTGCAAGTATTTCTCTGGGACGTAGCCTACCTGTCCACTGCGGTTTCTAGCCTGAAAAGGCAGTAAATACATAGTGATGATGATGTTGAAAAGAGTTTGGTGGGAATCCCACTTAAAGTTACAAAACTGAAATCTGTGGCTACAGATTGAACAGCTTAAATCCACAGTGCAGTGTACCTTGACCCAGTCCTCCATGTCTCCATCATCAATGACCTCCAAAATTTCCTGCTCTTCAATAGTCAGTTCATCTGGCTGAGAGGCCTGAAACAAAGAAATTGATCAGTCAGTTTGTAAGGACTAAACAAGTGTGAAGAAGACCCACAAACTGTGTAAAAACCAGTATTTATATTGATGTCAGCGTCCCTTCAACCCATGTTTTGTCTTGGTTGCTGCATACCAATCTATCAATGTTCACTGTGACACAGTGAACACCATTTCTCTTGTCAATTGTGGGCTTCATGAGAGTCAACAAGAAACTAAGCAGCATGTGTGCATTTAAATAATGGGTTACAACTCATGCACCACACATTGCATCCTCCAAAATGATCGCAGTTAAATCAACACCTATAAAATAGTTTGAACAAATAACTGAACATTAGATTACATGACTGCTGTGTAAGACTGCATTAGTTTTAGCCTGGTGTACCTAAACTGGCAACTGAGTAAAATTAAACATATTTTGGAACACTGTATTAAACTAACCCACAGAACTGACTTGGTCTGTGCAAAATCAGAAAACTCATCAAATCAGTACTGTTCACTGTCTTACATACTGTATGCTACTGTTGTGTTATTGCGTCATTGGTTTGCTGCTTCCTGTGGATCTACTGTTTGTATACTAATTTGAGAGCACTAATTGTGTTATTTATTGTCACTTCTGCATCTGTCTTAACCTGTCAATTCAGTTTTAGAACATCTTTCCAAATGTATGTAGGTGACAATATAATGGCTAGTGAACACAGACTCTTTTACAGAAGTAAAATCGGATCACATTTTAAGTGAACACAGACTCTTTTACAGAAGTACCGATTGTTTGTTGTTCATATAAACAAAAATAAAATGAAATGAAAATTAGTGTTAAATAACAAATTCTAAAAATATTAGGATTTACTGTTCTGAATGTAAAAATACCAACATACAGCTTAGCAATATTGTGTTTGTTGATATTTGTGACTTTGGTGAAATCGGATCACATTTTGTGACCGATATATGCAGAAAACCAGGAAGTAGCAAACAGTGCCATTGCATTTTCTTGCGACTGCATATGCACAAGATATAAGATGGGGGAACCACTATTTAATTATGTGCTGTAATAGCAGCAGGTCTACTAAACATGGAGCATATGCACAGAAAGTTACACTTTGTATTCTGCTGGTACCTTGTAGGAGTAGAGCACTTTGCAGGTGAGGGGATAGTTTTTCAAGGTGCTTGATGGGCTAGAACTGCTGTCGTCCAACACCTCACCACTGTCCTCCAGCTCCTCCTCATCCTCTTGATCCAAATCTGCAGTCCCCTAAAAATAATTCCAACATTACTTGGTGTGACACAGTTGCAGGTAGAACTAGAATTACTACTTTGTGGTTGTATGCCTCTGCCAACCAGTCAAATTCATAATTCATAAAAATACCATACTCAAGCTGAACTATACTTAAATTATGATTTTAATCTGAATTCTTGATACTGCAACAACCTTCAGTAAACTTGACAACTAACAGGCTGCTTCCTCACATGGAAGACAGCATTTAAGACAGGTTACGAATATGAAAACTACAATGTTACCTTAGCATTAATGCATTTGTGCTTTTTGAGTCTTACAGAGAGTGAAGGATCATGGGTGCCGAGGTTGTTCCAGCGTTCATTCTCCAGTTCCTCCATGACCTGGTTCATGGCGCTCTTCAGCCATGTTTCAACAGCAATTCCCGCCTGCCTCAGCAAATCCAGACGGGCCTCAGCTTTCACCTTCACTGTCTGCCATCACAAAATAGAATACAGACATTGTTTTTGACAAAGATAGTATGACTTACTGATCAAGTGGATCTGACAGCTGCACAGTCAAATGAGGAACACCCGGTTGCATACCAATATTTTAGGACCACTGTATCAAAGCAAATCATAATATACAAATTAAAATCACACACACACACAAGTTAATCACACTTTCCTAAAGCACAAGGTGACAACTTCAACCCAAAGATATATCACTATGATGCAAGACAGGAAAGGGTGGCAAAGTCCCACAGTAAAGTGCCTGGGACCATCAAATATTTGGCATTTTTACTTAAAAATGTTAAGTGTTTAATTGTTTATGAAATTTGCTGTGGATTAGTCTTTGGCTGATAGACTAATCACTTAAGTGACCTTGCAGCTACACTGCAACAATGCAACAGCAGTATGGACCCTAATATGTTATTTCAGCCTTTTAATCAGTAGGTGGCGCACTGGAGCCAGCCGAAGCACCAGGAGACAGCTTGAGAAAACAGAGAAATCCACTCCTTTCCTCACAAACCAACAAACACACAAACAAATACACACACACGTCACCTTTGCCCTCCGAAGACTCTGCTTGGCTACTTCCATCTTAGTCTCCAGCTCACTGTTTATCTCTGACGACTCCGGGGTCCCATATTCCTCCAGAGCCTAAAGACAAACCAAAAGAGGAAGGGGGGGAAAAAAAACTCACAATGACAACAGCCCACAATTAAAACATTCATCTAAAATGTATTAAAAACTAAAAACTGAACAATAAAGCCATTAATTGAGGACTTTGAGCTTCACTGGAGAAAGAGTGACTCATTTCCTGGTTTCTGGAAATAGACTGTTTGATCATGCAGTATTGGAAAATGTCACTAACTGCTGCCAATCTCTTATCTTTACCACTTAACTTTTACAGGAAATGAGGTTAATGTGAATGTGGTGATGATCTCTTATCCTGAACTGTATTGTTGCATCATCTTTTGCATGGTGATAATTTTGTGATCACCATGTTTATCATTATCAAACTGAATCACCTTGTTGGAGTACAGTAAAGACTAAATTCCACTTTAGCAGACAAAGATATTTATTGGTCTTAACAGGTAGTTGGCAACTTTACAGAAATATGACATCACACTGACAGTAAACTGACAGTCAACTGGGTTCTCTCTAACCTCAGACTGCCAGAGAAGAAACATGAGGTGGTTTTAGACAACTTTGAGACATTTTAAGGTGCCATGCAAGTTGTTTTTATTATGCATTATTTTATATAGTTGTCTATCTCCCTGCTCATGTCTGCCGGCAACATTCAGTATTCATCGGTTTGATCAGGTTCTCACCCTCTGCGTGTGGATGATGCTCTTGTACTCTCGAGCAACACGGCTTGCCCATTTTCTTGCCTCCTTATCCAGGCTGTGCTCCTCTGCTGTTCCACTCTCTGTCTGCAGCTGCATCACCTACAAGCACAGGGAGAGAAAGCTGTTGTGAACAAACTTCACAACATTGTTAAAATTACTGATGGAAGAGATTGCCTAATGATTCTTTTGACAATATTGGAGAAAATCGGTCAAAATTTTTACCATAAATCGCCTTACAATCACAACCGATCCTCTCTGATACAAGTGGATCCAAGACCATCTTTAATGTCCATTCAATCAGTGCTGTGACCTACCAGAACTCCTATAAAAAGGCCTTGTGATTTCCCAAATGCTTGTTAAGAGCATACACAAGTTTAAGTTATGTTTACCTTTTCTGTTATGTCATTGTGGCAACTTCCTCTTTATGTTTGACATGGGCCAAGCTAAAAAATGCACTGTAGGAAAGACATGCTGGAAACAGGAGTGGTGCTTGAATAGAGCATTTGTCTCAGCATCAGCTCCACTGAAAACATTTGGAAATATATTAGTCTTTTACAATTATGAAACCCAAAGTTCTGAAATGTAAAGAATCTCCTTATAAACTTTTTGTGGCGTGTCAGCAAACAGTTGCCTATTATGATGCAAAGAAATAATGTTCAATTGGAGTTGTGATTCCAGCCAAACGAAGACTATAAGTCCAATTCTCAAATCCCTATAAGTTGAGTTAAGCTGTTTCCATATGACAACACCATGTGCATTTGTGTCTGTATATGGAGAGAAAAGGCGAGGGTGGGGAGGGTCAGTGCACTCTGATGAGGCCTACTCACAATGGCTCCTTTTCACAGATGGGCTGTTCACAGGGCCTGACCTACCTCCTGCCCCTCCCTCCCAGTTCAGCTCTGTGCCTTACCGGATCCCTATGTCTGGATCGAGTGGTATGGTAGGGAGGGGAGGGAGGGTATGCTCTCCACCACTAATGTTTTCCTTAGGAACAGGCTGCTGCTTGTTTGACTTCCAATGAAAACAACACCAGCATTTGCAATTTGAACAAGTTAACCAGTGTTGTCCAGTGTAGCAAAGGGCTGGTGCAGAGTTGGTCAATGAACCAGTATGTCTCAAAAAGACATAGGTGTGACATAAAATCCATTGCATTATATTGCATCCATCCATGCAGATAGCAGGTAAATACTGCAGCAGACATTTCTACTGCTATTTACTGCTTCTATGCTCGCTTCGACCAGGACAACAAGGAGACAGCTATCAAATTCAGACCGAGGCACGCAAGGCTGCTGGTCCTGATGGCATACATGGATGCGTGCTCAGGGCATGTGCAGGACGGCTTGCTGGCATCTTTATGGACATTTTTAAGCTGTCCCTCACCCAAGTAGTTGTGCCGACGTGCTTCAAAACCACCTCCATTGTGCCAGTGCCAAAACATTCCACCCCGACGTGCCTCAATGACTACCGCCCTGTAGTACTCACACCCATCATCATGAAGTGCTTCGAGCGCCCGGTCCTGGCACACCTGATGACCTGTTTCCCACCCACACTGGACCCCCACCAATTTACCTACCAAAGGAAGAGGAGCACGGAGGATGCAGTCTCCATAGCATTGCACTCTGTACTCAGACACCTGGACAACAACAACACTTATGCAAGAATGCTGTTTGTGGACTTCAGCTCAGCATTTAACACGGTCATCCCCTCCAAGTTAACCACCAAACTTGGCAACCTGGGCATCAGCACCTCCCTTTGCAACTGGATTCTGGACTTTCTGACCAACAGGCCCCAGCATGTTAGGTCAGACAACACCTGCTCCTCCACTATTATCCTTAACACCGGCGTACCACAGGGCTGTGTGCTGAGCCTATTCCTATACTTCTTTTTCACTCACAACTGCAGGCCTGTGCATGGCTCCAACACCATCAAGTTTGCAGATGACACCACGGTGCCTGGCCTTATCAGCAACAACGAATCAGCCTACAGGGAGGAGGTACAACACCTGGCTGTGTGGTGCGCTGACAATAACCTGCTCCTTAACATCGACAAGACCAAGGAGCTCATTGGGGACTACAGGAGGGAGAAAGGAGGCAGGCACGACCCCATCCATATTAACGGGATGGTTATTGAACATGTCTCCAGCTTCAAATTCCTGGGGACCCACATTTCAAGAGGATCTGTCCTGGATCACCTGCAGCCTGGATAAGAAGGCTCACCAGCGCCTCTTCTTCCTGAGGACGCTGAAGAAGAACCACCTGTCTTCAGCCATATCCTGGTGAACTTCTATCGCTGTGCCATCGAGCACATCCTGACCAGCTGTATCATAGTCTGGTATGGAAACTGCTCTGTCTCTGACCACAAGGCGCTGCAGTGGGTGGTGAAAACTGCCAACACATTACAAGGACTCCACTTCCAGCCACTGAGGGTGTTTGGCCACAGGGAACGCTGTTTCTGACGTGCTCGAAGCACTCTCAAGGACTCCTCTCACCCTGCTCACAAAATGTTTGACCTCCTACCCTATGGGAGGCACTTTAGGAGCTTCCGGACCAAAACCAGTAGACTCAAGAACAGCTTCTTCCCCACAGCTAAGGAACAGCTTCTTCCCCACAGCTGTCTCCTTACTGAACTCTGTCCCCCGTTGACCCCCGACTGCCTTCCTCTATACCACTACACACACACCTCACCCCTTCTCATCTCTCCTCCGGGGACTAATGCAATACACTTCTGTTACCTGTAACACTGAAGTGATCTGTTAATTTGCACATACTCTACTCACAGAATACTGCTCTGTACTCATTTGCACACTGTTCATATGCAAATATTGTATATTTATCTCTGCACTATTTACATCCATTGAACTGTTCACTCGTGTAACTTATTGTTGTCTTCTTATTCTGCACAGCTTCATTCCATCTCATCCCATTGCACTAGTGTTCCATAAGCTTAACGTACCTTGTCCATTACTTGTAATTTGAATCCATAGTCTGTTGTACATCGTACATTACCCTACATATCTCACTGTAAATATCAATTGTACATATCCATCAGTAAATTAGTTCTGATTGTTCATACTGTAGATACTGTGCACTCTGCACTGCTGTTATTGCACTTCTGATTAGATGCTAAACTGCATTTCGTTGCCTTATACTTGTACATGGGTAATGACAATAAAGTTGAATCTAATCTAATCTAATGTCTGTTTTATTGAGGGCAAAAATGCAATAAATGACCACCAACCTGCTTCCATATTAAAATGGGAAGAGCAAAGGAAGAAGTGCCACTGTGCTGTATTTTCATGTTTGACATTTTATCAATTCAGAAATATATAATATAAACAGAACAATAAAACAAAGATTTACCATATCCGAGTCAATTGGCTGATACAAGAAGTTGGGGGTTTGCTGAAACATGGGGTTCTTCTGCACAAACAGCTGCTGGTGAAACTCTTGCAGTACCTGCATATGTGTGTGTTTAAAGGGAAAAGATGAAATATAAATGTTAGCTCAAATCAGAAATTAATGAGAAACAAAAAAAAAGAAATGCATTTATTTATCATACACTAACAGAAGTTCTGTGGTAGATTGTATGATACTATGGAAACAGCTTTTATTCATTGCTTTGAAAATGTGAGAGCTATTATGTTGGTCCCATCAGACCAGTGGAAACAGAGGGTGATAATGTATATTGATTTTTATATGCTGCAAGGTGGAATAAAGTTTACAACTAGACCACAGAACACAACATTTGTGCAGTTGTGTTGACAAAGGAAGCACAGGAGCTGAACTGAGAACCTGAAAACCTCTACCCTCTGTTTCCCTCTGCACTGATCTATTCATATTCTGGCCTGAGCAGAAACAAAATGCCGCTTCAGTTACAGAGAGAGGCAAGATGACCTGAAGGAGGTCAACAGCAGTTCAAAAGCATGTAACTGAGGACTGCCAAGGTAACTCAAACCATTTCAATTAATTAGCAGCCAGTGAGATTGTAGATTTTAACTCCTCCAACATTCACAAAGACCCTGAGTGATAATGATGGTTTAGAGATGTCCCAAACTCATTTAGGCATATTTCAATGGATTGTACTGGCTTAAAATAAACCTGATAAAATACCTTTCTTTACTCCAATCTACTGTATTTGTCCCCCTGAGCCTACTAGCAGCGCAGATTTGCTGTACTTTATGACAGCTGGCCTCTAAAGCGTGGACATCTTGCTGCAAATGTCGGTGGAACATCAAAAATTACAGTGTGTAAAAGCAAAAAATTATTTGGGTGCAACAGTATGAGTGACTGAGTTTTGACACCCAGTCATCATCATTTTGTCCAACCAACAGTTCAAAATATTTAGACTATAATATAATATAAAATAGAGAAAACCAGCAAATCCTAACAATTTAGAAGCTGCAACCACAATTTTTATGGGCATTTTTGCTTAAAAAAAAAAAAAAAAAAAAGCCTTTTTGCTTAATTAACA